CCATTATGGTTACCGCCAAAAAAAAAAAACGGACGTAAAAAAAAAAAAACGGTAACCTGGTTGCCGAGCTCACGAAGTGAATTGGCGTGTTATACAACGTCGTTGCCAAGCGACGAAAACCCTACCCCGATGGCAAAACACCAGGAGGGGCGGCTTGTTTTACAACTTCGTTGCCAAGCGACGAAAACCCACCCCGATGGTAAACACCGGGGGGGTTAACAGGGGACCAAAAAATTCGAAATTTAAGCAAGAAAGAGTACCACCATGTTTTCAGCGAACACTTTTATCAGTCAGGGCAGATGGAGGTGGTGGAGAGATCGAACGGATTTTAATGTGAAGGCCACAACAAAAAAGACGATCATTCAAAGGCCGGCGGATAAATAAGCAGATGTTTGTCTACATTCTTCTCTCGTCTTCTCTCGTCTTCTCACGTCAACAGGTGGTGTTGCTTGAACCCTGGAGTGTCGACGGACACGGCCACCGCTGGATCGAACTCCACCTGAAAAACATACGATAAGCAACGCGGAGGGGGGGGGAAGCAAAACCACAATAAACACGAAAAGAGTAAGCACGACAACAGAGGATAAAATTGAGCGAGAGGGCGAGAGAGCGACAGAGAGAGAGGGAGAGAGAGAGAGAATAACAGAAAAAAAAAAAGCCACTGCTGTGAAACGAAAACAACGCTGCTGTCGGATGGAAGAAAAGTTCCGCACACCTTGTGCGCCGCAGCCCCGTGTGACAAACAGCCTCTGCCTTGCCTGCCTTGCCACGCGCTTCCCCGTTCCCGTTCGAAATAGGAGGAGAGTAGGAGATGCATGCGTTGATACACGTGCGTTGCTGTTCGCTGCGTCACAGAAGTCCGCAAGCTTGTTTCGACACACAACGCGAGAGTATTTACATTCGATCGAAACGATCAACTGCACACAGCAGTCGTCGCCACCTTGTCCACGTAGCCACGTACGCAAACCACACATGGTATGTCATGAGAACCATACACACGCAGCAGTGCTTCCGTCATTGCCATCATGAAAGCCACGGCACCCCCCCGATCTCGCCTCTACACAGATACATGCCTGTGTTTGTCTTGGTTGCTGTTGTTACCTTCATGATACATGTAGCCGCGCCACAGCCCACGAGTCTACCTTAACGCAGATGCATGCCTACGTCAACACACACACCGCAGTACTTCTCTGAGAGGTGGTGCTGCGGTGCTCACCTTGATGATAGCCGCGGCGCAGTCCGCAAACTGTTGGCTCCCGCAATCGAACTCCACGACAATCCGGTTCCCATTAGACCCCATCACCTGCGTAATTTAACATCGCAAAAAAAAAAGCCAGCACTTGTACATACGCAGGTGGGACCAGGACACGCACGTTGACTCAATCAACAATACAAGATGAAGGGGGGGATACCTCACCTGGTGTGTGGTACAATAGATGCTTTTCTATTTTTTGTTTTTGGGAGGACGAAGGATATCATATGACAAAGGACGTGTATTAACGAAGACATGAAACACAGAAACGAAAAAAATCGAAGACAAACAAACAAAGAACGCTCTACTCTACTGGCCGGGGAAAAAAAAAAGGGAAACATTGCCATCCCAGTACAACAATATTGCACGATTTGTTGTACCCACCTCGTGAGCGTCAAACTCTATCGATCCGATTGTGGTGTCCTGCCCCAGCTGTGTCTGAGCCTTCAGGTCGATCCTCACGACGTCCAGATAGTCCACGTCCACGAAAGCCACGGGGCAATTCCAGACTGCGGTGACGGGACAAAACAGACAGAAAGCCGCACGGTTTTCGCCGGCCAATCAGCAGAGGGTTGAAGTTCAAAAAAAAAAGAGGCACGGCGGTTTACACCAAAACATAATAAATATGGCAAAAAACTTCACCTGTACATACATGGCTGAGGGCAGGGTCGGGCTCGGAGAGCAGTCTGCGTTGTAATGAAGTCAAGTGCTGCTATTGAGAACAACGGCGAATTTCATTGGACAAGCCAATTAGCGCGGTCGGTACCAAACGGTTTTACGGGGAACCCACGGAAGGCATGCCCGACCAATCTCCAAAGAAATTTTCCACAAGGGCGGTTCAGACCGAAAATCGAACCAACTGCAACGAAAAACGAGAAAAAAGGGAAACCTGCAAGACGAGTGACAAGCACCAATTCCTTTACGCCAAAAACAATCCCCGAGCAACCCCGTGCAAATACGCAAAAAAAAAAAAAACGGCGAAGACAAACAACACACATGTGTTCTGAGACTCCAACTTCACGAGACAAAAGCTATGTGTAGTTTTCCGAACCTGGATGCAAAGTCTTGTGGCTGCGGATGGTGCTGTGCGTGGTGGCTTCCTTATCCCGGGTCAGGTAGCACTCGCAGTACATCGGGAACATCTGACGAAAAAAAAAAAAGAGAAACCAAGGTGACGGCCGGACAAAAAAAAAACTTCGTACTCATGCTAGACACACGTGCACACGTTACGAATGAAAGCCGCAAAAAACAACGGCGTTTCAATATCGATGGAGGGGGTGGGGTGGGGGCAGGGGTGAAAAAACACAAAACACAAAAGTGCTGACCTCATCGACGTGGTGATCCCAGTCTTCGCTCATGTCGATGAACCCCTCGATAACAGTGAGATTGACCACGTAAAGCTTCGACGCCCGGTAGGATGTCCAATACCTGGCAACAATTATAAATAAATACGATCACAAAACCAAAAAAAAAACAGCGGCATACACACACATCACCCTTACGAAAACAAAATGCAGCATGGTACCCGTGCACACGTTTGCGTGGGAGAGGAACAGTCCAGCTGTTGGCATATTTTCAATTTTCAGTTCAGAGGAGACATCACATCCAA